AAAAAATGTGTACGCCACTGACCTCATATTTTTATTTTTTAATTTTTAGAATTTTAGACCCCCTTGAACAAATGCTCAAATTTGTGCCAACAACCCCTCGAACAATACGCCAGTTGAAGGACAATATCCGTCACGGTTTGCATTGATTTCGAGACCAACGCTTACGAAGGTATTCCAAAACCTGCGCACGATTGGAGGGGTTGAGTTGCCGGTTCTCCTGGGGAACCTGAAGGACACCAGTTGGACGATGTGATTTTAAATCATAAATTCCCATTAGTTATTTACAAATTTCAATCAATAAATTGTACCACAATATCGCTGTTTTTTATAAATTTTCAAAAAAATAAATTCCTTTATGAGCCACTCTGTATATAGAGTAAGTATTAATATTAATAACAATTATTTTGTTATATTTTCTATTAGTGTCTATATTAAAGCAGAATATGTATAATAGTTTTCTATTCGGACTGTTTTAGTTTAGAAAAGCCGTTTTAGTTGACAAGTTCTCATAAGTTATCAAGTTGTTAAATTCATTAAATTAGGTTCTAATTGTAGAAGAATTAAAAATGTTTGGACGCGGACGGGGGCTTTAACCCGGGACCTTTGGCTTTCCTGGCCAATGCTCTTCCAACTGAGCTATTACTAACGCTTCCACACCTCAATTCTTATTCTTGTTTAAATTATTTGTTTTTACACTAATGTGAACTTTTATTTTTTTATATATTTCTGTCATAAAAGTGGTTCTGCCAATAATCAATTCTCTTTACGAAATTAGTTAGATTATATACTTATTATTAATTTTTGGTTCATTGAAATATTTTTTAAAAAGAAGGTATTCGAATATTGTTAGTATAAACAAAATGAGTTGAGAGAGAAAATATAAACAAAGCTGTATCATTGTGGCGTGTTATTATACATTGTCGAAAGAAAAAAATCGGGGGGAATTGTAATGAAAACCATTATACTTTTTAGCGACCTGTATGTCTTTTGTTCCTTCCTAAATGTAGAGTCACTATGAGTCCTACGCATATTAAATGGGTTTTTGTGCCTCGTCTGTAAAAAAGGGAACTAGGCAGGATCGGACGAGAGACCGTGTTTCAGAAGGAGTTTGGTATCGCTTTTGCTTTTCGGCGTCCGCCTAGTTTCTTAGTTTTTCACCGAAGATCATTTTTTGGGTGCAAGTCTGTAGCATAGGCCCTAACTTTGGTTTTGTGCAGGATATACCTGTATTTTTTAGGTAAGTCCCGAACTGTTTGCTTTTCTTCCTGAGTGAAAGTTATTTACTTGTTAGTTATTAGTTGTGTTTGTTGTAACTTCTTGTTAGTGTCTATGTAAAAATTTTAGTGAAGAAAAAGGAGAAAGAATAAAATACTTCCACGTTATTCTGTCGGCCTATTATTTTTTTAAGAACCTCAACTTTTGATTTCGTTACAAGATGGAGGTTGAAACCATGGCTAGAGGACAAACATAAAGGGAGCTTGAAACTGGACAAAATAGAATTTAAGAGTGATCTGGAACAATTCAAACCAGTTCCTGCATTTCAGAAAATGCTTTGGACAAATTGTTGAAACTTGTAACACCCAAAATAGAAAAACGCGATACCAATTTCAGACCAGCCATTATTGCAAGAGGACAAACTCATTGTAACTCTTTGATTTTTGGCTACTGGTGAAACCTACAGAAGTATATATGAATATACTTTCAGCATTTCGGAATCAACAATCTACATTTCGTCGGGTTACTGCCAAAACCAAACGCCGTTTTCTTGAGTTTTTAATTTAAGTTCCTATCTGTACGTACGCTGGAAATAAATTTTGAACATCAAATGAAACTAGTTTTTGCGTTGTGTGGTAAATGAACATTTTTAATTTCATTAATAAGTTCGAAAAGAATTTTTAATACTAAATTTCGGTTTGAATTGACTTTTTTGTGGTAATAATATCGATTAATAATTTAGAAACCTTAACTGCTGGCGCGGTTACATGTAACCGCGAATAACTTTGTTGTCGTACGCCACTGGTTTTAAAGTACGCACCAGCGTGTTTAAATCCAACTTTTTAATGTTACCATGGCAACTTCGAAACCCGAGAAAACGTGAAGTGTAATTGTATATTTTTAATTATTGATCTGATTTGTAACGTCAAATAAAATATTACTAACAAAGTAACAAATGTGTTACTACGGCAAACCGTATGCCGATCGTTTTTCGATAGTTTTTTTCTATGAAATATCGTTTGGTAT